ATCCATTCCTTCACCAAACCGTGCTTCGTGGAAGTCTGCCATCATGTCTGCCATCCCGGCATCGCCATCATACTCCTCGAGGACGGGTCGCACCACCTCGTCCCTAATAGGATGGTATTCACCATGGTGGCGCCTAAGCGGGTATAGTTTGGAACGAACCCGTGCTTGAACAAATCTCTCAACACTGAGCCTTTACTTTCTTCTTCTTGTTCCTGCACTTTTCGCTGCGGGACACACGACATCCGAATCGACCCTTTAGCGGTGGGCCAAATGCATGCTCCAGAACTCGGTCGTCCCCCCGATCCATTCGTGGCTCTTACTTGCGGCCCGAGTACATCCACTTACGGTCACCCATGCTCGTCATGCGGCAATGTTAACATGTGATAAAACCAGCAAGTGCATCTACAACGCGCTCCTACCATCTAATAGGTGAAGGATAGGTCTTAATCCCATTTCGAAGAGCATCTTGTGAGACGAGGTTAGCTTCCATGCTCCGCTCCCGTCGTCGAGATGGAATTTCGGAAGATTCCTCCCATTGTTCTCCCGATACACGTCCCCGGCGGGGAGAGTGTGTATCCAGAGAACAACGGGAGGTCCCGCGAAACTCCGACTTGGACGGGGAGCGGAACATGGAGCTAACCTCGTCTGCGCATCTCTGCTGTCCAAATAACGTGGACAATCCAAAGCGGATACGGTTATACATATGCGAAGAACGCATACTTCCAACCGTATCCGTTTCGGACGGGAGACGCCTAACTGGGTAACGCGACCTATGACTACATGTGGCGGAAAGAGGGGTCATACCGCAGGTGCCGGTGAAGAAAGGCTAGCGGGCGGCGGTCGAAGTCGTGCTCCTCGGCTAGCCTCCAATGGGAGCCCTCACGAAAAAAGAAAAAACAATTAGTGAGAACGAAAAATTTGGCAAAGACACCTCCCTGATGGGAAGGTTACCAAACACCGCAAGAAAAGATGGCACGATGGCCGACAAACACATATACATGTCACGCCACGATGGCCGACAACCACAAATGTATTTCCAATCCATGCGAAGAATATAGCGGTATTAACAAAGTAAACTACTACTACTAGTAGTACTACTACCTCGTCGTCGGACGGCGTCACCCCGCAGCGTGGAGGAAGCGGTGAGGCGCGGCGAGGCGCGGGGCGAGGCGGACGGCGACGGAGGCGGGCGGATGGCGAATGGCGCGGACGGGCGGACGGGCGGAGCGGGCACGCCGGATCGGGTGGGGCGTGACGGCGCCGGCGGGAGTCGGCAGGCGAGGGCGGCCACGGGAATAACGTCGAGTCTGACGCGGCTGTGCCAGCCTGGCCGGGCCGGATCGGGCGGGGCGGCCGATGAGGGCTCTGGGCTGGGGGCGGCTGGCAGGAGGGCCCAGCTGGGGGCCATGGGGGGGCCACCGGGAGGGGAGTGGGGGCGCCCGGGGGGCATGGACATGGGAGGGGGCCAGCTGGGAGGGAGGACATGGGGCCAGCCAGGGAGGGGAGGCCATGGGAGGGAGGCCATGGCCGGTGAGGGACCAGCCATGGCGCGCGGGAGGCCAGGGCCACGCTGGGAGGGCCAGACCGGGGGAGGGACCAGTGGGGGCCGCCGGGAGAAGCCTTGTGTGAGGCGCTGGCCGCGGGGGGGGCGTGCCGGGGAGGAGGAGAGGAGGATCAGCCGTGGGAGAGAGGGAGGGAGGGCGGGAGGGGGGAGGGGGGATGCTGTGGCCGGCCGGGCCAAGCGTCGCACGGCGGCGGAAGCGGCCTGGGTGGCGGTGGCGAGATTTTGGGGAGGGAGGGGGGCCGAGCGGATAAGGCGTTTTTTTTTTTTTATTTTTTTCCTTTGCCGATTGCCAAGACATGTGACGCATCAAGAAAGGTCTATTATTTTTTTTCAAAAATTATTTTTTTAATTTTTTTTTAAAATACTTTGCTTGATTGCTCTGCTCCTGGCAATCGGCAAAGGTTATTTTTGATTTTTTCTCAGAAATTTTTGCCGATCGCCATCCTCCACGGCGTTCGGCAAAGCTCTTGCTAATCGCCATTGATGGCGTCGGAAGAATTAATTTTTTCCGATTTTCGATCCCGGTTTTTTGTGTTGCCTTGCTACTGTAAGTACATGATATATTCCAAGTTTTGGGGTCATTTTGATTTATTTTGCTATATTCCATTGATTTTTAATTTCTTTGATTTTTTAAACACTCAGATTTGAGCTGCGGTACATGAAATAATGGAATCGGCGATTTTGAAAATGATATTCATGAAATTTGGAGCATGTTGAGGCCGTGTCTAAGGGCCGACACGTGAAATTCGGCCGAATTTGGTGCGAGGAACCGCACACGGCCTCAACATGTTCCAAACATTTATGAAAATCGAAGCGGGTAATCGCCGGATTCCATTATTTCGGCGTGTCTTGTCAAATCGAGTCGCCGTGGTAAAAAAATCAAAGAAGTTTGAAAAAGTGGCTAATATAGTGGCTAAATCATGGAATGTCGGTTTTGGAATATATCATGTACTTACTGATCAAGGCAATACAAAAAACTGGACGAAAAAAAAAAAATAAAAATTTTTTGTCGATCGCTGGGGAGGATGGCGAGCTTGGCAAAGCTTCTATGCTTTTGCCGACTGGCGGCGGCGGAGTGGCGATCGGCAAAGGTGACGGTGTGGATGGCGTCAACCATGGCCCGCCTTTGCCGATCGCAATTCTTTGCCAAGCGCCTGGCGGTCGGCAAAGCCAGCAATCGGCAAATCTCGCTTTCGCATTGCAGGAAATTCCAGTTGGCAAAGGGACCTCTTTGCCGAGTGTCGAAAAAAAACAGTTGGCAAAGAAAATTGCAGTCGGCAAAGAGCCAGTTTCCTGTAGTGACGTTTAATTATTCTTAGATGGTGCGAAATGCTGGAGCAGAACCATTTGCTAACTCGCTCCACAGCTTGCCATATCAGCAGCGACACGACGGCCATGGTCACCGCCACCATCTTTTTTAGAGAAAATATTTCCCCCTCTTTATTATGCAATTAGAGCTTGATTGGCTGCTTTCATATCCACCTCAATCCACGTGTGTTGCAGTAGATTGGGGTAGAAATGGGAGACACCCCATTTATTGACATGTATTCTAGACACGACTGTAATGTATGATTAGAGACACGTGTTTATGGAACATGTCTCATATGAGTGGTTCTAAACGGACAGTAGACATAACGTGTATGTGATGACTGCACCTCACATATGCATGCGTTTCAATACAATGTCTGCCGCTATCAAGACAAACGACACGTCCCAATTAAATGTGTCTCTGAGATAATATGTCATCACAGATGTGTTTTAGTACAATGCATCTATGATGATTAGTGTAATCATCAGAGACTCATTTTAACTTGACGCGTCTATGATGTAAGAAGTCACCTTAGACACGTGATTTGTAACCCACATCTCTGATGTCTACCTGCATGTATGATTACAGGGGGCAGTATGGGGCCACAACGAGTAAGAAGGCATTGTGCGCTGCACTGTTCCGATACACGTGCTGCACTGCTTTGATACAGGAGCCACCATCGCTCCTCGTGATCCTAGCTCTCCATCCGCTGCCAGCCAATCAGTGTGTTGCCACCATTCATACCATCGTCATCGTCCTTGGGACCACACGTGGAAGTGCAGATCTTTGCCCTGCCCCCACGGGAACTCCTCGGCTGCCGGGTGGCTGAACCTCCTTGCTCCTGGCCACCATCACACTCTTTTGCAATTTCTATGCCCAGAGATCGATAGGTACTCTTCTCCTACCCTTCTGCTCTCTCCTTACATGTAGGACTCAATGCTAATTCCTCATAGACACGCTTCTACATTTAGGAGCACTCCTCCGCTATCTTGCCAAGATCAACAACCTGCATGCATCATTAATAGAACACATATCTAGCTTATTCTGAAGAAGCCTGCTTAGAGATCAGAGGTAGACATTGTTTATTCATGCTCTCATTTAATATGGATTATTTGCTCATCAGATGCTTGAATATTGTTGAATAGTCATTTCTTTCATTGTAGTTTTTTGAATTATTCTAGAGTATGGAGGATCGGCGGTGGCGTCTTGTGACAACACTTTGATGGGGAAAAAAATTAATACCGGGAGAGGTCCCACTGGGCAGCTACATGGCCGCGCGTCACAAGTCACGCAATTTTTTGCGCAAAAAACGCGAGGTTCGCGGCCACCGGCGCTCGAACCCCTGACCTCCTGCTTCGCGTCTTCGGCCCTTAACCACTCCACCTGCAAGCTGTTTTTGTCCAAATGAGATTTTCGTCCTAGCCATTTTATGGTCTTAAATCATTGATCACAGTTGCAGAGGTGGATATGTTGAATCAACACAAAACAACTCTGTGTTGTCTATGCTATGATTGTGTGAATGAACAACAGTAGGGCCCCTCGCTAGCGCTTGCGTGCTGCAGCATGTGGCACCATCGAGTGACCAGCCTCTCGGTCGGAGCCCTTAGCTGAAGCACGCATGCATGAGACAAGCCATGCCAGCAACACGACTCTATTGACCGGCGGCGAGCTTGCGCAAGGCCGGAGGGCCATAGTCTGCTGTAACGAAATCATATGAAACATTCCCAAACGCAGAAAGACTCATCGTCACTACATCCTATGTGTACAAAGGAGACACCTCATTTATTATTGACATGTATTCTAGACGCGACTGTAATGTATGATTAGAGACATGTGTTTGTGGAACATGTCTCAATTGAGTTGTTCTCCACGGGTTGTAGACATAGCCGCGGCGGCCGTAGCTCGCTGGGCGCTTGCCAGCAAGGAACACCTCGTATGTGCCTTGACCTTCCTTGTCCGTGGGCTAGCGAAGTAGCATGGGAGGCGCTAGTATTGAATTAGCAGAGCCAAACAATCATTTTGGTTTATATTTAATAAAGAACATCATTATTACAAGAAAGGGAAAAAGGAGAAAAAACATATAGAGCCAACAAGCAATTATACAGATTTATTATTGTTTTAAAAGGATCATATAAGATCATGGAGCATGGCTGTTTTTAGCATTAAACCGGCTGAGGATTTGACGTCCCCATAATTTTCTGCCTCATTTGGTGATCCCTCATTCCCCAAGAGCAAAGGCAGCGGCATCGAAGGTTTTCTAATCCACAGCATCATCGCGTTGGTCTTGATGCCAGTGATCTTCCTCAGCTTGCCATTCTCGATGAACGCCGCGTCGTACGACACCTTCTGCATGATTTTCTTGAAGGTGTGCTCCACCTTCTTTCCTTGCACCAGCCAAATGAAGCCCGAGTTGCGGTTGTACCCAAACTCCTGGATGTCCTCCAGTGGAAGGAGGCCCTTGGGCAGGCCGAGCTCCTCCAGCAGCTCCACGGACATCTTCCTGCACGTGGCGTCTCCGGTGAAGACCTCTGCACCAGCACGGTGGCACTCCATTGTCTGGGACGCCATTGTTTCTTTGCTATCTGCTTTTACAAATGGAGCTGTGAGTAGCGGCCGGCGATAAAGAGATTGTAGTTGCAAAATGTAGCTGGCAGCTTTTAATAGGGATGAAGTGGTTTTGTGTGATGGGAGATGGAGCAACAGCGCATATATATAGGCACGCAGCTTGTACAGACAGAGAAGCAGTGCAAGACGACGTGCATTGTAGGACGACGTGCACTCTTGTATTGACCATATATTTCTTCCCACATCCAGCTGCAATAAATCAATATTTGTAGGGTTAATTTTAGCCACTGAATGCAATTAAAGACCTTCGAAGTAATATGATTTAGGACCTGCTGCCCATGAAAACGTGTCAATCAAGTTAAGTGGTTGTTTAGATATCATCATTTGAAATCTGTTTTTAGAAAATATGTTTTACCATGAATTTTAGGTTGACCAGTTTTAAGTAGGTATTCTGTTATTTTTTATTTATATATTATGCTTCTCTCTTTAAATCAAATAACTATGAATATGTGAGATTATGGCAGGAGAAACAGGCTATGCTTTCTGGTTTCTATAAAAATAAAAACATCTAGCAGTAGTTTCTTGTAAAACTCGGTACTCCAAGTTTACTAGAAACTGTTTTTACTAGTCTCCAAGTTAGTTAAAGAAAACAAACATGGTTTTCTGGATAACAAACTAAAAATGGGATTGAAGGATTCCGGTTTTCACAAAACTTATATAAGATCCAAACAATCCATAAATTTGTTAAAGTGCGCAGCGGATCTGCTTAACTCGCTAAACCGACGAGCAAGCACCCCACGCTCAGGTTCACTGGAGCCCACAACAAACCAAGGTCTCGGGCCTAACTTAACTCAAAAGACTAGCAATTATCGATGTGGAACTAAACCTGACACTCTATCCCGTCACACATCGAGCTCAACTCTTCAGATCACACAATTCTGTGTGATCTCCGGAAGATGTAATCCAGGCTCTGAGTCAAACACGCTCCATGCTACACACAAACCTTGTGATCCTCCAAGAGGTTAACGAGCTCCCCCATCACCATTTGACCCCTGAGATTTTCTAGATTTAACAACAATGGGCTTGAATACCACCAATTACAGTCCAGAGTAGATTCGGCCTATCTTGCTATACCCACGAGCCGGCGCCTCTCAGTCCAGGTCAACAAACCAAGACCTCAGGCCCAACCCAACCCAAAAGATTATATGTGTATGGCTTGTTGAATTTGCTATTAGGATTCATCTCAATAAATATTGTGAAAATGCAATATCATAGCCTCATGCAATAATATTCCAGTGATGTAGAAGATCATCGACGCTGAATCAAAATTAGTTACTGGTGGTGAACTAATAGTGATCACCACCTGGTAAATGCATAATATGATGTTGATCAATTGTTCATTATCGCCGGGTTGAATCACTGACTGGTGGTGACCAAACGCTAATCAACACAAGAGTGCACATCCAACCAGCAGTGATCGAATGATCGTCACCACCGGCTCATCCTATAAACCGTCAACGTACAGGATCAGCAACGCCGGTTCAAACTTCAAACCGACGATGACCTAGCCGTTGTCACAGCTAGATAAAATGGTGAACCGGCGTTGGTAGCAGATTACCACCATAGGTTTTGAACCGGCAGTGATTTCCTTGGCTATCACGGTCAACAGTTCACCACCGAGGGTCAGTACCGGCAACGGTGGACGGTTCCGAACCAGTGGTGGTGACCTTTTTGTAGTAGTGCACATATGTATATATTTTTCTTGCTTAATCGATTTTGAGACAGATTATGAGAAAGAATGTTCTCCTAACAAACGGACTCTATTGATAATTCATTAAAAATCGTATTAATATATGTACCCTATTCCGATAATAAAATAATACCACTACACATATAAAATAAATGGTAAATTAATTTATGACAACTAGATAGGATTGTCGAGTATCTGAATCAGTTAAATTAATCACTGAACTTTTAATACTCATGTAACGAGATTCTAGGCAGGAGTATGGGTTGATTCATTCGTACCCTTTAAAGAATTAGTTTGCCCAGGAAGGTTCCGTCACTCCGATGCATCTTATAAGCAATGCACGGAACTATGACTAAAAAAACTAATGCCGAGATGGAGCTCGATCATGGTGTGTTTAAGTCGTTGTCAGCAAGATAGAGGCATATTGCAATCAGCTAGACATAGATAAATAAAGTTATTTCATAAAAAGATATAGTAGTTATATTATACTAAAGAAGCACGCATCATATCGTCATCCGGCCGGCCGGCCTCTCTCTCTCCGAACGTGTGTGTGAACGTGTCAAGCCGTCAACTACGGATCGTGCTATGCAGTGCACTCTTGCATGCATTGTGCGTTCCACGTTCATAGATAAGCTCTTTTACCGTTACTTTTTAGGGCTTGTTTAGATTCAACTCAGCTAAAGTTTAGCTTGCTCCAGCTAAAGTTTAGCTAGCTGGAGTGTTTGGATCCACCGGCTAATTCAAATCATTAGACCATGCTACCCCTCATTTACACCCTAGTTGCCTCTCATTTCTCTCCAGCTGTTTTCTCTCTCCTCTCATGCTGGTGGCGGTGGTGCCCCTCCCAGCCTCCTCAATAGACGGCGAGATCCTGACCCCTTCGTCGATCTCGATGACTGCTCCGGTGGATCTTCCTGCCACGGCGGCCGCGACGTTTCTTCCCCACCTGACGGCATCCATGGCGCACTCCCCACGGTGGCGCACAGGCTGCCCAGGCGGCGCATCTGAAGCGCCGGACGTACACATGGCGACGGCGCCCCCCGCGGCCCTCTCCCCGTACACCAGCAATGACACATCTGGGCGATCCCTCTCTCCTTCACCCATGACGGCTAGTGCATCGGCGGCGCCCCTCACTCCCCCAACAGCGTCCCCTCCCCCGCCATAACGGTGGCCGCGCCCGTCCTTCCTCACCCTGACGGTGACAGTGGCGACTCCCCTTCGCCGGTGGCGGCGACCATCTATGGTGGTGCCGACCTCCCTACGGTGGTGCATGGAAAGCCCAGGTAGGCATCCACAGCGTGCGGATCCAAAGTTCCAGACGAGCGAAAGGGAAGAAGTGAGCGATGCGAGCCACCACCACCATCGCCCCTCGTGGTCCTAGCTCTCAATCCACTGCCGGACAATCGATGTGTTGCAACCATTCATCTTGTCGTCATCATCCTTGGGACCACACGGTACAATGCAGATCTTTGCCCTGGCCCCATAGGAGTTTCTCAGCTGCCGACTGGATGACCCTCCGTGCTCCTAGCCACCATCACGCTCTTCTTCTATTGTGGTTCCACGTTCATAGATAAGCTTTCTTATCATTACTATCTAGAGATCCTCTATGAGCCACATGATCCTCGTGCGATGCAAAAGTATCATGCCCCCACTTTTAATAATTGTTAGATGGCACGTAATGCAAGAGCACAACCATTTGCTAACTTGCTCCACAGCTGTTGCCATATCAGCAATGGCACGACCATGGACACTACCGCCACCATCTTTTCTAGAGAAAAGATTTCCCCCCTCTTTATTATGCAATAAGAGCTTGTTTGGCTGCTTTCATATCCACCTCAATTTACGTGCTTGAAGTAGATTGGAGTAGAAATTAGTTAATTTTTCACCTCAATCCACCCCAATACATGCGGATTGAGATGCGTTGGAGTGCAGCCAAACAAAGCTTAAAGCTTTTAAGATTTTCATATATCACTGGAAGTTCAAAACATATCTTAAGCATGCCCGCCAAAGCTAGATTAAACCCATCCACATTATGCATTCATGAGCTCCTTGTAGCTGATGCTGAACTTGCCAGTACTCGCAAACATAGTATCCACGTAATAGTGTACCTATAGGTTGTTGAACCACTACATGATATAAATACACAATCGATCAGAACATATAGAGAGCATACACGATATAATAGCACACACGACTTTTGATACCTACCGAGAAGTTGTGCCTGACTTTTATTCTGTTGCCATTCTTCTTCACGGATCTTAAATCGAGGGATTCTAGAATCTCGAAGTACATCTTGTAAGCACTATACGAAAACCACGGGAGTCAATGAAAAATTTAACATGTACCCTTGTCGACAGAATATCGTCGGCAGTCCTCCGAGGGGTATCCCACGAAGGTAGATTGATCGGCAGAGAGGCATGTAATCAAGAACAAGAAGGCAACAGAGACACATGAATTAGACAGGTTCAGGCCGTCAGTATGACGTAATACCCTACTCCTATGGTCTGTTGGTTTGTATTGGCTATCGTATGATATTGCGTGAGTTTGGAGGGGGTCCCTGCCCGCCTTATATAGTATGGGGGTAGGGTTACAAGTCGGTTAGATCTGAGAGATAACCGAAAAGTAATAACAGATTACAGAAATCTTGGGATCATACGTATCCTAATAGACCTCGTATTATCTTCAAGATATCTTCCCGGTATCTTGCGGGAGGCGCCGAGCAGAGTCGTGCCCTGCAAGGCTTCATCTTGTGGGCTGGGCCACCCCTGGGGGCGCAGCCCATGTGGTCTGCCATGGGTATACGGGGTCGTACCCCCCACAACCCTTCTTTTGGAGTATCCAAATAGTCAGAACAAAATGGCCGCTCCAAACTAAGGATACATTTGAAATGCAATCTAGTGGCCCATGACACCCTCGCTGCACCATTCAAACAATACAAGTTTTAGATCTTCAAATATGAAAAGGGGTGATACTAGTAGCTAAATATTAGCTTGAAGTAGCCTTTTGACTTACCTGAACTGGTGGGCGGCAAGGACATAAATCCTTCGTCTTTCCCATGATGTCTAGCAAGACATGAATCGTGCTTTCGAAGACATTCTTCTCCAGGTGCATGAGTCGATAGCATGGGGCATATCCAGCTCCTTCCAGTATGACAGATACTTGAAGAAACTTGACTTCTTGAAAGGAACGATGACAGGTGGTTCCTCTATCTTATCCAACTTTCTCTTCCTTGTCGTGTTCCCCTCTTTTTTAT